ACGACTGCTTGTGCGGACGTCGCCGGGGGCCATTGGCTGCCGCGTTTCGCCCACAAAGTATACAGTCAATTCACTTTACAGTAGATATACTGTGAAGCGCTTTGAGACGTCTCAACGATGTGATGAGGCGCTGTACCAACCGCGAGGATTGTCATTGTATTACATATAAACAGCGTCGGGAGCGGAGGTTGTGAGTGAGCAGTCTCAGAGGGCTGAGCAAACAGATTAGAGTTGGGCGAGCACATCTACAACTTAAAAATGAATAAAATGTCCTTCCTCTCTCTCTCTTCCACGCCCCCCCCCCCCCCCCCACCCCACCACCACCCCCTCTCTCCCTCCTTCTCTCTCTTGTTTTCTCTCCACCACAAGGAGCGAGTGAGTGAGCGAGCGAGCGGGGCAGCAGGAATGAGGGGCTGTTATTGCACATTCCAACTTTTACATAATTTATTCAGCTGCACGCTGTGCCGAAGATTTTTTTCTGACATTTCCTCGCTATTCCCTCAGCCCCGCACTACCACAGGTCTGACTTGCCTCATTCAGCACCGCAAACCTCGCCACTTGGAACAGCAGCAGCTTACGCCCTCGTGATTTACACTCCAGTGACTTACACAAAAAATACAGTCAACTCACTTCTTGCGAATGATCCTCGCATTTGATGCAGCGCCTCATCACCTCTTCGAGACGTCTCAAAGCGCTTCACAGAACATATTGTAAGGTGAAGTGACTGTAGTTTGTGGGCGAAACCCGGCAGCTAATTGCGTACAGCAGTGTCCCACAAACAGTCATGGATTGAGTGACCAAATTATATTTTTCGAATAATATAGCTGTAACCCAGTGGTTAGAGCAAGCCGGAGGACTTGGGTTGGATTCCCGGGCAGGGCGAAACCTAAGGCAAGTTTCCTTACTCCACACTCGCACGCCTCTGTTTACCTTAGCAGTAAGTAGGAACCTGGATGTTAGTCGACCTGGAAAGCGATCCACCAATTGAGTAACAACGGGGTTCCTACTTAACGCTAAGGTAAACAGGCATGTGTAAGGAAGCAAGGAAACTTGCCTAAGGTTTCATCCCGCCCGGGAATCGAACCCAGGCCCTCTGGCTTGTGAGGTGAGCGCTCTAACCACTGAGCTACGGGAGCTCATCACTCCAAATGAGAAGGACTTCTCTCTCGTCCGTGGTCCTGGCCGACAATAAAATTGCTCCCAATAGTCCAAACCCCTTCCCGTTCACTCCCATCCCAACGCTTTCTGTGCCAACTTGTGGGACTAGTTGGGCGGCTCTTTCAAAGAGACGGCACAGGCATGATGGACCGAATGGCCTCCTCCTGTGCTGTAGGATTCTATAACACTCCCGAAGGCGCTCTCTCTGCTCTCTCCTCTCAGTCAGGTTCGTTCCATTCTCCTCATGGAGCAGCGGTGTTCTCACATGGCTCCGTCCCCCCTCCCTCTCCGCATCCCCCCTCTCCCCCCTCCCCACTTGCGAGCATATTGGGGTCAACAAAAGGCGAGTGCCCTTGGCTGCCAGCCCCGTACCCTTCATCTTCACCCTTTTTTTCAACAGGGGGGGGGGGGGAAATTTAAGCTGTAAATCTGTGTCGGTCGCCAAAACCACCTCATTAATCACCGGCAAATCAAAGCGTATTGGAAAGAGAGGGAGGGAGAGGGGGGAAACAGAGAGAGGGAGAGGGAAAACAGTGAGAGAGAGAGACGAGAGAGGGAGGGGGGACAAACAGCGAGAGAGAGAGAAAGAGAGAGGGAGGGAAGGAAGGAGGGAGGGAGGGAAAAGCAGTGTGTGAGAGAGAGGAGAGAGAGGGAGGGGGAAAAACAGAGAGAGAGAGAGAGATCGCGTGATCCAAAATAGCTCTCCATGTCAGTGAGCACCTTTTAATGAACGTTGCGGCACTGACCTGCTCCACATACCTCCGCGCCACTTGCATAAACACTGGCTGATCCAAGCAAAATTCACTGGACAGACTGGGAGTCATCCCAACTGCAAGTCAGGGAACACACCCTCGCTCGCTCGCTCACTCGCTCACTCCCTCACTCACTCGCTCACTCCCTCACTCACTCACTCACTCATTCACTCGCTCCCCTTTGTTTTTTAGCGGAAGTAAAAATGTTTGCTGCCGAGTCCTGTCGCTCAGTGGTTCGAGCCCTCGCAAAGCAAGCGAGAGGACCCAGGTACGATTCCCGGGCAGGGCAACGTCGGGCAAGTTTCCTTGCTCCAAACACACACACACATACACACACACGTACACACACATGTGCGTGTGTCTCTGTTTACCAAGCAGTAAGTAGGAACCCGGTTGTTATTCGATTGGCAGATGGCTTTTTCCGCCCAGGGGGCTAATAGTCCTTTAAGAAAATAATAATAATTTGGTCACTCAATCCAAGACTGTGTGCAATTGGCTGCTGCGTTTTGCCCACAAAACCCACGGTCGCTGCACTGAAAAGGAAAATCCTGAAAAGCATTTTGAGATGTTTTAACAATGTGATGAGATTCTGCATCAAATGCGAAGATTATTATAACAACAACAATAATAATAATCCTTGCATTTGATATAGCGCCTTATCACATCTTCGAGACGCCTCAAATTATTTATTAAATTATCTAATAATGATTATTATGAAGTGAATGACCGATTTGTCAGCCAGGACACCGGGAGAGAGAGAGAGAAAAAAACTCCCTTTTCTTTTCTAATAGCACCACAGGATCTTGACCATCCACCTGAACGGGCAGACGGGACCTGGGTTTAACTTCTCATCTCAGTTCTCTCCACAGCACTGCACTTGAGCATCAGCCTAGATTACACCAGTTCAAAGTCCCTGACGTGAGGCTGGAACTCCCAAGGGCACGTTATTGTCCATGCCTTGCATTTGAACCAGCGCCTCATCACGTCTTTGAGACGTCTCAAAGCGCTTCGCAGAATATACTGTAAAGTAAATATACTTTTAAGTATTTTGTGGGCGAAATGTGGAAGCCAATTGAGCACAGCGGTGTCTCAAAAACAGCCGTGGGTTGAGTGATTTTTCTTTCAGGCTTTATTACTCCCCCAAAACGATCTGCCAATCGACTGACAACCGGGTTCCTACTAACTGCGAGGTAAACAGTGTGGAGTAAGGAAACTTGCCCAACGTTTCGCCCGGTCTGGGAATCGAACCTGGGTCCTCTCGCTTGCAAGGCGAGTGTCTTGACCACTAGAGCTACGGAACTCACTGTAGAGTGGTGTGACTGCGGGTGTTTTGTAGGTAAATTGTTAAGAGGGAGACTTTAACAAAGCGTAAAGACTGAGGTAAAAGCTGGCGACGGGTGCAGAGAGGTTGAAATGCGAGTCAGTGCCCGTCCCTCCTGGATGCCTGTATTTACAGTGAGCTGTCAGAACGCTTGCGAGAAGGTTTGACAAATGCTTCCCACCCTGTTTTTCTTAGAAAACTCCGCTGTCTGATACTCTGCAGCGAGACAGCCAGACAGCCAGACATGCTCGCTCGCTCGCTCGCGCTAATCAGCCAGTTTCTTTGCCAATGCTGGGCTACAGGGAATCAGACAGCCGTTTCCCCCCCACACCCCTAAGTCCCTCTCCTCACCACCCCACCACTACCCCCCACGCCCGACACACACACACCCACCCACCCACCCACCCCATCACATGAGGAGCTACTCACTTCTCACTCAATGTCCCGCTCATGTTTGCTCTCTTCTTCGTAAAATGTTATTCTGTCAGTCAATGCCGAATAAACCTGGGGCTGGAGTTGGGGTTGTGACTGGGGCACTGTGGGTTATTCAGAACTCTGCAGCTCGTCTCCCCTCCTGCACCAGGCTCCGTGACCCCATCACCCCCACCCACCCTCGCCCGGCTCCACTGGCTCCCCACCCCCAGGGGGGAGGGTTAAAATCCTCATCCTCTCCCCTTCAAAGCCCTCGTCGACCTTCCTCCTTCCTACCTCTGTGACCTGCTCACCCCATATCAACCTGTCCACTTCTTCCGCTCTGGTTTGCTCCATGTCCCTCGCCTTGTCTGGTCTGGCCCACCATCGGCGGTCGGGCCTTCAGCCCCTCTGTCCCCACCCTTTAGAACTCCATCCTGGAGCCCCTCCACCTCGCTCCCTTCCCTCAAGCCCCGTCTCAAGACCTTCTTCGACTGCGTCTTCGGTCACCCTCCTACCCCCACCCTCCACCCCTCCTGATCCCAACCCCCAGCTCGGGTCCAAATCCCTGACTGTCCATCACCTTGGGAGGTCCTCCCAACGTGAAATGTAATTTGTTGTTGTTGTTGTGTCAGTAGCCGGGTCCACTTTTCACCCGTGTATCAGATCCCGTCTCTCTCTCTCTCTCTCGCTCTCTCTCTCCCCGTCTGCCGCTAACTAGGAAGTTATTTGGAAACGTTTTGAACGGTAACATGGGAACAGATTTTATTAATTAAAGCACAAGCACACAAACACGCACACGCACAGACGCGCACCGTACACAGACACGTACACGTGGGCACGCACCTTACACAGTCACAGACGTACACAGATACACACGCGCACGCTCTCCCACGCACTCACATATATATATTATACACAGTATTTACAGCTTTTTTCAGCCATGAGATGTACAATGTGCAAGATTCCGGCCTGGATCAGCGATGGGGGTTGGGGTGGGACTGAGGGGCGTGAGGGGGATTGGGGAGGGGTTGGTGGGCTGTGAGGTGGGGGGGGGGGGAGCTGCAAATCATCCAGAACTCAGCATCCCGTGTCCTCTCCCGCACCAGGCTCTGTGGCCCCATCGCCCTCTCCCTTGCCCGACTCCACCGGCTCCCCATTCCCCAGTGGATAAGAGTTCAAAATCCTCGCCTTCCACGGCCTTGCTCCTCCCTACCTCGGTGCGGATGGGGTTAGAGGGGGGGGGGGCGTTAGGCTGAGGGTTTGGGGTGAGGGGGTACTGTGGATTGGGGTTGGGTTGAGGGTGGGGGATGTTGATGGGGGGTGGGGTTTGGGGTGGGGGGGGGAACACCACACTATCAGCTGTCGGGATAGCGCTCCCCCTCCCCGCGCTCCCTCTCCGCTGTGGGGACACTGGCTGCCGGCTCAGCCTTGGAGGATTTGCTCCATTTTTGGGAATCGGATTCCTCCGAAGACGAACGCTTCTGTCTCCTCCACTTGGCTCTGCGGTTCTTAAACCACACCTGAGAGAGAGAGAGAGAGAGAGAGATTGAGTGTGAGAGAGCTCGGATTAAACGATTCTTAAACCACACCTGAGAAAGAAAGTGAGTGAGTGTGTGAGAGATAGTGTGAGAGAGAGAAAGTGTGAGAGTGAGAGAGTGTGTGTATGTGTGTGAGAGGGGGAATGTGAAAGAGTATGTGTGAGTGAGAGAGAGAGGGAATGTGAGAGTAATTGTGAATGAGAGTGAGTGTGAGTGCGTGAGAGAGTGAGTATGAGAGAGGGAGAGTGCGAGAAAGAGTGTGTGTGAGAGAGTGAGATGGAGAGCGAGTGTTTGAGAGAGTGTGAGAGGGAGTGAGAGAGCGACAGGTCTCCTCGCCCTCACACACCCTCCACAACACATCATAATTAGCACATCACCCGGGCAGCAAAAGCCACTTGATGATGATAATGATCCTCCCGTTTGATACAGCGCCTCATCACATCATAAAAACATCTCGCTGTGCCTCTCGGGAAGTGTAGTGACTGTGTACTCGGTGAAAGCCAGAGCCGTTAGCGTTCCACACACTGGCAGCCAGGTAAATCAACGTGTCCAGGGGTTGTCGGCCTGGACACCGGGCGAGACAGAACGAGGGAGAGAAAGAGAAATTCCCTTTTTTTTTCAGTGGCGCCACAGGATCTTTCATATCATATGTGGAATCCCATAGCTCAGCGGTTAGAGCACTCGCCTCGCAAGCGAGAGGACCTGGGTTCGATTCCCGGTGCGGGGCGAAACCTTAGGCAGGTTTCCTTACTCCACACGCCTCTGTTTACCCGGCAGTGAGTAGGAACCCAGCTGTTAAGTCGATTGGCGGATCGCTTTTCCGGGGATAATAATCCCTCCAAAAAATAGAATAATGATAATAATTTGGTCACTCAATTCACGACTGTTTGTGGGACACTGCTGTGTGCAATTTGCCCACAAAATACACAGTCACTACACTTTACAGAATATTGTGAAGCGCTTTGAGACGTCTCGAAGACCGCGATAAGGCGCTGTAACAAATGCAATGATTATTATTATTATTATTATCTTGGTTTAACGTCTCATCCAAAGGACGTCGCTTTCCGAAACCCGGCGCTCCCCCTCCCTCCCCCTCCCCCCCAATTCCCCCCATCCCCCAGCCTCGTCCCTGAGGACAGAGTCCCTGATATGGGATCTGACCCCCACAAACGTCTGACCTGGACGCAAGAGTGTGAGAGACTGGGCTGGAACAAACTGGGTGTGTTTTTGGACAGAAAAATCTCTGATGTTAACACTCTCCGCTCACCCCAACGTGAAAGGCGCTGTACAACTGTGACTTGTTGTTGTCGTCGTGGGGGGTGAGAGAGTGTGTGTGAGAGAGAGAGTGTGAGAGTTGTGAGAGAGAGAGTGAGAAGGAGTGTGTGAGAGTGTGTGAGAAAGAGAGTATGTGAGAAATAGAGTGTGTGAGAGAGAGAGTTGTGAGAGAGAGAGTGTGTGAGAAGGTGTGTGTGAGTGTGTGCGAGAGAGAGAGTGTGTGAGAGAGAAAGAGTGTGTGTGCGAGAGCTTGGCTCTGCGGTTCTTAAACCAGACCTGAGAGAGAGAGAGAGAGAGAGAGAGTGCTCGGCCCTGCAGAAATATTATACATCCCCGTTTACCCCTGATGTGATCTCAGCCCGTCCGCAGCGACGCAAACAAGGAGAGAAACAGGTCACAACCTCCCTTCTCTCAGAGCGAGCGAGAGAGAAACAGAGAGAGACATACGGAGAGAGTGAAACAAGCAAAATACACAGTCACCACACTTCACAGCATATCCCTGTGAAGCGCTTTGAGACGTCTCAACGACGCGATAAGGCGCTGTATCAAATGCGAGGATTGTTATTATAGGCAAAAACGAGAGGGAAAATCAAGTGAGACTCAGAGAGAGAGAGAGGAACAGAGAGAGTTTTTAACCTTTTAAAAATGTTTTGCTTTAAATTCAGGCTCTGATTCTTGGGATGGCACAATATAATATAATTCTTGCATTTGTTATGCATTATTGAGACGTCTCAAAGCGCTTCACAGAATATATTGTAAAGTGTAGTGACCGTATTGTGTGGGAGAAACAGCAGCGTCCCCACAAACAGTCGTGGATTGAAGTGACTGAATTATTATTATCATTTACTTAAAGGGATTATTACCCCCGGAAAGCAATCCGCAATCGATTAACAACCGGGTTCCTACTCACAGAGGCGTGTGGAGTAAGGAAACTTGTTCAAAGTTTCGTGCCCGGCCCGGGAATCAAACCCAGGTCCTCCCACTTGCGAGGCGAGGGCTCTAACCACCGAGCTACAGGACTCCAATGAAATTAACTAAACAAATGCCCTTCGCGAGGCAACAGCTCCCAGCACCAATAATAATAATAATAATCCTTGCATTTGATACAGCGCCTTATCACGTCTTCGAGACGTCTCAGAGCGCTTCACGGGATACACTGTAAAGTGTAGTGACTGTGTACTTTGTGGACGAAACCAGCAGCCAGTTTCGCACAACAGTGTCCCCACAAACAGCCGTGGATTGAGTGAGTGGGGGATCTTGACAGCATTCTGAATCGCGCAATTTATATTTCAGCCTCTCTGTAACAAAGCCCTCAGACTGACTGACGATTACGACCAGATTTTAACAGAATCAACGCATTCCTTGGTGTTGGGAGGTTTGGGGGGGGCAGTCGGGGGCTGAGGAAAATTCAGCACACACTCCCCTCACACCCGGTGAGGATCAGGGAGTCAGGCGGTGGCGGGTGGGGAGGGGAAGGGGCAGTGGGTAAGGGTGCTAACCCCAGGTACGATCAGTGATGGTCAGCCACACCGATAACACCACCAACCAGGTTGCACTTCTTATCACATCAATTGGCTGCCACGTTTCGCCCGCAAAATCCACAGTCACTACACTTTACAATACTTGAGTCGTCACGACGACGTGATAAGGCCCTGTATCAATTGCAAGGAATATTATTAAATTTATTATGATTGTTATCTTTATATTTGAGCTTCCTAAAGCAGCGACTATCTGCAGGAGGTTGATATTCTGTTCCCGGGCTATTTTGTCTGATGCCGGAATATTGTTACTCAGCTCAGTACTGTTTGTGAGGGATGTCGCTGTGCACAAATCGGCTGTTTGCCCACAAAACACACAGTTACTACACCTCAACGTAAAATCCTGTGCAGCTCTTTGAAACATCCTCCCGACGTGAAAGGCGCTGTATCAAATGCAAGGTTTATTATTATTGTAATAATAATCCTTGCATTCGATATAGTGCCTTATCGCATCGTTGAGACGTCTCAAAGTACTTCACAGAATATCTATAAAGTGAATTGAATGTGCATTTTGTGAGCAAAATGAATATATTATAATATTATGTCATACACATAATAATAGTCGTTTATAATAATAATCTTTTAGAATAATAATCCTTGCATCTGATGTAGCGCCTTATCATATTGTTGGGATGTCTCGAAATGATGTTATCACATAATGCAAACTATTATTATGATGAAGTTGGTACAGTTAAAATCATTCTGTTGAGGTAACAATATTATTGATATTATTATAATTATTCTCACATAGGTCCACATTCAATTCATAAATCAATATATTTCCTGATCATCTCTAGTTCCTTATTTCTTATAATATAATCACTTGGGTGAGCGACATCCATAATACTACATGTACAATCTGTTTCAACCTTTATGATAATATCTGGTCTGTTACAGATTACTGTTATTATTATTAATTGTTATTATAGGAATCATAAATAACCGTAAAAAATAATAATTAATAATAATGTAAGTATTGCTCCCGCCCTCTTGCAATCATTTATCATTAATAATTATTATTAATAACAGTAAAACACGATAATTGGAGGAACTTCCTCAATATACTGTCCACAAGTACACACAGTGACTGCACTTTACAGTGAATCTTGTGAAGCGCTTTGAGATGTCTCAACGACGTGATAAAGTGCTGTGTCGATTATTATTATTATTATTCAGTGTTCCACTCCAGTACAAACGCGTTTATAATAATAATAATAATCCTTGGATTTGATACAATACCTTATCACGTCTTCGAGACGTCTCAAAGCGCTTCACAGAATAGACTGTAAAGTGAATCGACTGTGTATTTCGTGGGCGAAGCGCGGCAGCCAATTACGCACAGCAGCGTCCCCGCAAACAGCCGTGGACTGGGTGACCGATTTATTATTATAATTTTTTGGTGAAGGAATTATAACTGCCCGTAATGCGATCCGCCAATCAACTAACAAACCGGGTTCCTACTTACTGCCGGTAAACGGAGGCGTGTGGGGTAAGGAAACTTGCATAAGGTTTCGTCCTGACCCGGGAATCGAACCCGGGTCCTTTCACTTGCGAGTGCTCTAACCACTGAGCTACAGGACTGCTTCGATCTCTTAGGTTTGCAGAGTTCCACAGAGCGCTGTGTAACTGAGTGAGGCAACTTGCGTGTGGGTGCGTGTATGCGTGTGTGAGTGTGTGTATGTGTGTGTGAGTGTGTGTATGTGTGTGTGAGTGTGTGTGTGAGTGTGTGTATGCGTATGTGAGTGTGTGTGTGTGTTGTGTGTGTATGCGTGTGTGAGTGTGTGTGTGTGTGTATGCGTGTGTGTGAGTGTGTGTGTGTTGTGTGTATGTGTGTGTGTGTATGTGTGAATGTGTGTATGTGTGTGTGTATGTGTGTGTGTGTGTATGTGTGTGTTGTGTGTGTGTGTGTATGTGTATGTGTGTGTGTGTGAGCGTGTGAGCGTGTGTGTGAGTGAGCAGGGAAATGGCGCTGAAAGCCAGACCCAACCCCGCAATTCCACACGGCCTCAGCCTCAGCACCGCTTTGCCTTTAAAATGTAATCTGGCGCAGAATTCCGGAACGTTCCTAAATTCCGGCTCCGCTTGTTAAAGGGTTTGAGGCAGTTTGTTAAAAAGAACCAGGTTTCCGGATTTACGCACCGCATCCAAGATCTCTTCCTCAGAAAATTCTTACGTCTTAAACTGTGACTCTCACGGGCTGGGACCGGGAGGTATTTGGTCTCAGTAATCCAGACACTCCAGCGCAGCGCTGAGGGGCGGGGGTGCGGGTGGGGGGGAAAGGGGGGAGAGGGGCGTTGGGGGAGAGAGAGAGAGAGAGAGAGAGAGAGAGACCCTGCATTGTCCGAGACGCCGTCCTTCAGACGAGACTTTAACCCGAGATCCCCGTCTGCTCAGGCGGACGTTAAAAGATCCCGTGGCTACTTGAAAAGAGTAGAGGAATTTCTCCCCCTCTCCCGGCGTCCTGGCCAACGGGCGCTGAGGTGCAATCGCCACGACTGTTTGTGGGCACGCCGCTGGGCGCGCGGTTGCCTGCCGCGCGGTCCGCCCACAAAATACACAGTCACTACACTCTATACGGTCACTATGCTTTATGAACTGTTATTCCCAGGCAGGGGGCGAAACACCGGGCAAGTTTCCTTCCTTACTCCACGCCAGTAAGCAGTCCCGCGGTCGTTAAGTTGTCCGGTGGGTCGCTTTTCCGGGGATAATAATGGCTTCACAAGAATAAATAAATAATAATCATTTGGTCGCTCAACCCACGACTGTTTGCGGGACCCTTTGCTGTGCGCAATTGGCTGCCGCGTTTCGCCCACAAGATATAAGAGCATAATAATAATAATAATAATAATAATAATAATCCTTGCATTTGATATAGCGCTTTTCACGTCGGGAGGACGTCCCAAAGCGCTTCACAGAACACACTGTAAAGTGAATTGACTGTATATTTGTGGGCGAACGCGGCAGCCAATTGCGCACAGCAATGTCCCACAAACAGTCATGGATTGAAGATGACCAATTTATTATTGTTTTTGGTTTTGGAGGGATTATTATTAGGCTCTGTGCGGAGTAAGGAAACTTGCCCAAGGTTAAGAAATAAGAGCAGGAAATGGCCATTCGGTCCCTCGAGCCGGCCCCGCCGTTCAACAGTAATAATACTATAATAATAATAATGTGCAGTCACTTCACATTGCAGTACGCTCTGCGAAGCTCTTTGCGATGTCTCGAAGACGTGCCGAGGTGCGAGATCGAACAGCAACGACACCAATAATATTCCTGGCGTTACGATTATTTTTATTTGATTGTTTTGAAGGGATTATTACCCCCGGAAAAGCGATCCGCCAACCGATTAACAACCGGGTTCCCACTGACCCAACTGTCCAGCGCCTTGGGACGTCCTCCCGACGTGAAAGGCGCTCTACAAGTGGAATCTTGTTGTTGTTGTTGTTGTTTCCGCTGCGCAAACAGAGGCGCGTGTGCGGAGTAAGGAAACCGGCCCAACTTTTGGTCCCCTTGCCCGGGAATCAAACCCGCGGTCCTCTCGCTTGCCAGGCGCGGGCTCTAACGGCCGAGCTGCAGGGCTCCTTACCTCCACCTTCTCCTCCCGCAGGTGCACCCTCCGTGCCAGCTGTTCCCTCGTGCCCACATCTGGATACTTGGTTTCCTGGAAGAGTTTCTCGAGGGCCTCCAGCTGTTCGTCGGTGAAGATGGTCCTGTGCCGGCGTTTCCTGCGGCAGTGGAGCTGGTTCAGCAGCTGGAGCTCGGAGCGGGACAGGGCGCCCAGGCTGACGTACGGCAACATCTGCGGAGGCATCGGCGATAGGTAGGCAGAGCCCACTCGCTCCAGGCCTGCCAGCGAGAGAGCACCCCTCAGTCACTGTCACTCACTCACTCACTCACTCACTCACTCACTCACTCGCTCGGTCACTCACTCACTGATACTCTCACTCACTCGCTCACTCACTCACTCACTCACTCGCTCGCTCGCTCGCTCACTCACACCCTCACTCACTCACTCACTCACTCACTCACACCCTCACTCACTCGCTCACTCACTCGCTCACACCCTCACTCACTCACTCACTCACTCACTCGCTCGCTCACTCACTCACTGACACCCTCACACGTGCTCATACTCATTAACACACTCACTCACTCACTCACTGATACTCTCACTCACTCACTCGCTGACTCACTCGCTCACTCACTGACACCCTCACACGCGCTCATACTCATTAACACACTCACTCACTCACTCACTGATACTCTCACTCACTTGCTCACTCACTGACACCCTCACTCACTCACTCGCTCGCTCGCTCACTCACTGACACCCTCACATGCGCTCATACTCATTAACACACTCACTCGCCATCACACTCACACGCCGACACACGCTCGCAGTTATTAACACGCTCACTCATTGACACGCTCACACTCATTCACACGCACACGCGCACATAATTGTAGATTCAGTGCGCTGGTCATCTTCTTCAGATACCACCTGAAACCTCACTCACAGTGACACACACAGACACACACACAGGCACACAAGCCCCAACGCACTCACACACACACACACACAAACACAGGCACACACGCCCAAACACACTCACACACACACACAGGCACACAAGCCCCAACACACTCACACACACACACACACAAACACAGGCACACAAGCCCCAACGCACTCACACACACACACACACACAACACAGGCACACAAGCCCAAACACACTCACACACACACACACAGGCACACAAGCCCAAACACTCACACATACACACAGGCACACACACAGGCACACACGCACAAACACACTCACACACACACACACACAGGCACACAAGCCCAAACACACTCACACACACATAGACACAAACACAGGCACAGAAGCCCAAATACACTCACACACACACACAAACACTGGCACACAAATCCAAACATACTCACACTCTCCCACACACAAACTCACACACAAGCCCAAACACACTCACACAAACTCACACAGAAGCTCAAACACACACAAACACACAGGCCCAAACACACTCACACATCAACTCACACACAAGCCCAAACACACTCACACACATACAGACACACACACACAAACCCGCTCACATAATCACACTCAAACACACATTCGCAAACACCCACATAAACACTCCCACATCAACAACAACTTGTCTCTCTCACACACACACACACCCCTCCACGCTCTGTCTCCTCTCTCACCCACAGACCCACAGACCCCAGAGTTTCCATTATGGGTGAATAAGGATAAATAAATCCCCCAGTTTTGTCGTGGGGGGAAATTCTTGTTTCATTGCTGTCACAGGGAACAGTCCCAACCGGCGGAGAGTGAGAAGATAAATAATAATAATAATAATAATAATCCTTGCATTTGATATAGCGCTTTTCACGTCGGGAGGACGTCCCAAAGCGCTTCACAGAACACACTGTAAAGTGAATTGACTGTATATTTGTGGGCGAACGCGGCAGCCAATTGCGCACAGCAATGTCCCACAAACAGTCGTAGATTGAAAATGACCAATTTATTATTGTTTTTGGTTTTGGAGGGATTATTATTAGGCTCTGTGTGGAGTAAGGAAACTTGCCCGAGGTTTGGCCCTGACCCCCCGGGGATTGAACTCAGGTCTCTCACTTGCAAAGCGAGTGCTCTAACCACTGAGCTACAGGACTCCACATAAAGTGATGAAGCAACGAATTTCGACCCAAACCCCTGGATGTGAAGCAGCTTCGGGATAATGATTAATAATCCTATTAATAAATTATTATTATTATTGACTTCCTGACGGTGTCAACCAAACCCGTGTAGAAAGAAAGCGATCAGGAAGGATGGAAACGATAGAAAGTAGTAGGAACAAAGAAAAGGAAGGTCGGAAAAAATAAGTAATAATAACAAATAATAATAATAATAATAATATTAATTATCTTTGCATTTGATACACATCTTCGAGACGTCTCAAATCGCTTCACAGGATATACTGCAAGTGAATTTTGTAGCGAAACCCCCAAACAATAATAATTATAATAATAAGGAAAAAGATTTTTTTTAAATGGAAAGATATAGAAAGTTATAAAATGTAATGAAGGAAGTGAAGGGAAAAGGAGAGGGAGAGGCAGAAGGAGAAAAAGAGAGAGAGAGAGAGAGAGAGAGAGAGAGAGAGAAAGAGAGATAAAATGGATTTAGAAAGAAAGAAAACAAACAGAAAGAAACTGGGAAAAAGGTGCAGACAGAGAAAAAGGAGAGGAAAATAGAAAGATAAGAGAGAAAAAAAAAACGATGCAGGAAAAGAAATAAGAAAAAAGAGAATAAAGGAGAGGAAAAGATAGCTGGAAAGTAATAAAGAGAGAGAGAGAGAGAGAGGGGGAAAAAAGGGGATAAAAATGAGAGCTAAAAAGTGATAAAAGAGGAAGAAATGGAAAGAGAGAATAAACTGAGAGACAGTAATACAGGGAGAGAGAGAGGGGGGGGACGGCAAGATGCCAGTTACCACACACCTGGCTCAGGGGTAGAGGGTCACTGCCTGTCCCTGTGACAACTGCACTGGGTGGGGGTGCAACAGGCTGGCAGTGAGTGGCAGTGGGTGGGGGTGCAACAGGCTGGCAGTGAGTGGCAGTGGGTGAGGGTGCAACAGGCTGGCAGTGAGTGGCAGTGGGTGGGGGTGCAACAGGCTGGCAGTGAGTGGCAGTGGGTGGGGGTGCAACAGGCTGGCAGTGAGTGGCAGTGGGTAGGGGTGCAACAGGCTGGCAGTGAGTGGCAGTGGGTGGGGGTGCAACAGGCTGGCAGTGAGTGGCAGTGGGTAGGGGTGTAACAGGCTGGCAGTGAGTGGGGTTGAGTGGCAGTGTCTGGGGTGCCAGGCTGACAGGTGCCAGGCGGCTCCGGCCTCTCTCACTGTCTGAGCGACCCGGGCACTTGGCTGTGAGTGGCAGTGAGTGGCAAGAGCTTAACTGTGAGGATGCTGGGGCAGTGCTGGGTGAGATGCTGGCAGTAGGTTACTGGCAATGACCGGCAGTGTGAGGCAGTGGGTGGCAGTAGCTTACCTGACGGGATGCAGGAGCAGGTCTGTGCCAGGCGCTGGCAGGCGGGCAGGGCGGCACATGGTGCCAGGCTGGTGCCGGGCAGGTAGTAGCAGGGGTAGCCGAGCCTGGCATGTGTCGGGGCCGCGGGCGGCGGGTACAGAGCCAGGCAATGGGAGCTACTGCCGCTCAGCCCCGGGGCTGCCGCGCTCACTGACTCCTTCCCCTCACCTCGTCCTCCCGACAGGATGCTCTCAATGCTGAACATGCCGGCCCGCATCACACCCGGGCACACTCACTTACACACTCACACACACTCACACACACCGGGCACACTCACACACACTCACACACACCGGGCACACTCACACACACTCACACACACCGGGCACACTCACACACACTCACACACACACACCGGACACACTCACACACACACACACACACCGGGCACACTCACTTACACACTCACACACACTCACACACACCGGGCACACTCACTTACACACACTCACACACACACACCGGGCACACTCACTTACACACACACACACACCGGGCACGCTCACTTACACACTCACACTCACACACCGGGCACACTCACTTACACACTCACACACAGCGCACACTCACTTACCCTCACTCACACACAGGGCAAGCTCACACTCACTCACACAGGGCACAGTCCTTACACACTCACTCACACACTCACTTTCACACACACACACACACAGAGTACGCTCACTCACACACACACTTGTACAGGGCACACTCACTCAGTTAAACGCTCACTCACCCTTACACATGCACACACTCACACACACACACACACTCGCTTACACTCACAGTTACAGTCACTTAGTTACATTCACTCAGTTCCACATTCAAAGTTACACACACACACACTCACACACACACAGATACTCACACACTCACAGATACTCACACACACACTCACACACACAGATACTCACACACACACACAGATACTCACACACACACAGATACTCACACACACACTCACACACACAGATACTCACACACTCACAGATACTCACACACACACTCACACACACAGATACTCACACACTCACAGATACTCACACACACACAGATACTCACACACACACACACAGATACTCACACACTCACAGATACTCACACACACACAGATACTCACACACACACAGATACTCACACACTCACACACACAGATACTCACACACACACTCACACACACAGATACTCACACACACAGAGATACTCACACACACAGAGATACTCACACACAGACTCACACACAGATACTCACACACACACTCACACGCACAGATACTCACACACTCACAGATACTCACACACTCACAGATACTCACACACACAGAGATACTCACACACAGATACTCACACACACACTCACACACAGATACTCACACACACACACTCACACACAGATACTCACACACTCACAGATACTCACACACACACACTCACACACAGATACTCACACACTCACAGATACTCACACACTCACAGATACTCACACTCACAGATACTCACACACAGATACACACACACTCACACACAGATACTCACACACACACTCACACTGACACACGGATACTCACACACTGACGGCAATAAAGTAAAGGTTTCTGTGCAGTCGCCGAATCTCCTTAAAAACCCCCAAAACGAGTTTCTTTTTTGTGGAAAAAGAGGAAACAGAAAACAGCGCCGAAAAGGGAGAAATTATCACCAAATCTGACTGTTCCCAAACACCACCACAGCATAACTGAGACACACAGAGAGACACACAGAGAGACACACACACACCTACACACACACACACACACCTACACACCCCACACACACACACCCACACACACACACACCTACACACCCCACACACACACACACACACACACCCCCACACACACCTACACACACACACACCCACACACACACACACCTACACACACACACACACAGCCACACACACCTACACACCCACACACCCACACCCCCACACACACACCTACACACCCCACACACACACACCCCCACACACACACACCTACACACCCACACACACACACACACACCCACCCCCACACACACCTACACACACACACACCCACACACACACACCCCCACACACACCCACACCCACACACCTACACCCACACACCTACCCCCACACACACCCACCCCCCCCCACACACCTACACACACACACACACACCCACACACACACACCCCCACACACACACACCTACACACCCACACACACACCCCCACACACCTACACACACACCTACACACACCCACACACACACACCTACACACCCACACACACACACACACACACCCCCAGCCAGTGCCTGAGACACACACCCCCCCCACACACCCCCAGCCAGTGCCTGAGACACACAGAGAGACACACACCCACACACACACCCCCACACACCCCCACACACACCCCCTCACTCACTCAGCGCCTCCCACACCGTTATATACAGTGTCCACGTCACTGCTCCAGTGACCAGACCCCCAACTCACACTCACTCACTCACACTCACTCACACTCACTCTCACACACACTCACACTCACTCACACACACTCACTCTCACACTCACACACACTCACTCTCACTCACTCTCACACACACTCACTACACTCTCACTCACTCACACTCACTCACTCTCACACTCACACACTCACTCACTCACTCACTCACTCACTCACTACTCACACTCACTCACTCACTCTCACACACACACTCACTCACTCACACACTCACTCACTCACTCTCACACACTCACTCACTCTCACACTCACTCACTCACTCTCACACTCACACACACTCACTCTCACACTCACACACACTCACACACTCACACACACTCACACTCACTCTCACACACACACTCACTCACTCACACACACTCACTCACTCTCACACACACACTCACTCACACACACACTCACTCACACACTCACTCACTCACACTCACTCACACACACTCACTCACTCACTCACTCACTCACTCACACACTCACTCACACTCACTCACTCTCACACTCACACACACTCACTCACTCTCACACTCACACACTCTCACTCACACACTCACTCACTCACTCACTCACACACACTCACTCACACTCACTCACACACACTCACTCACTCTCACACTCACACACACTCACTCACACACTCACACACACTCACTCACTCACTCTCACACTCACACACACTCACTCACTCTCACACTCACACTCACTCTCACACTCACTCACTCACACACTCACTCACACATTCACTCACACACACTCACACACTCATTCACACTCACTCACTTACTCACTCACACTCACTCATTCACACACTCACTCACTCACTCACACTCACACTCACTCATTCACACTCACTCACTCACACACTCACTCCTAACATGTAGAGTGCCCTTGGATGGACAAACGCCGGAAAGCTTCTCAATGGCAAGCTATGCAGTTTCAGCTGGTTAGACTCCAGCAGTTACCCCAACGCACACTCTGCGGTTCCCGAAGTTATATCAGATACAGCGCCTTATCACGTCTTGAAGACATCTCGAAGCGCTTCACAGAATGTACTGTAAAGTGAATTGACTGTATATTTTGTGGACGAAACACAGAAGCCAATTGCGCACAGCAGTGTCCCGCAAAACCAGTCGTGGATTGAATAACTAAATTATTATTACTGTGTTTTTTAAATTTGAGGGATTATTATCCGCCAATCGACTAAGAACCGGGTTTCTACTTACGGCTCGGTAAACAGAGGCATATGTGGAGGAAGGAAACTGGCCCAGTGGTTTCGCCTTACGGGAATCGAACCCAGGTTTCCTCTCGCTTGTGAGGCTAGTGCTCGAACCAATAAACTACAGAACACCACAAATTAAGTAAACAGGATGAGTCCCTCCAGGGAGAGAGAGAGAGAGAGAGAGAGAGAGAGTGCATTCCATCCCAACAAACTATCACTGGGATTTCCACGTGTAGGTGGGATGCATGGAATTCGCAGCTTGGTTTGGATACCTGGCTGATGAAAAACAACAACAAAAAAAAAGTTAAACCAAGTTCCCCATCTGTGGCCCTGTTTAGGCAGACATTTAAAGATCTCCCTCGGCACCACTCGAAAAGAGAAGGGAATTGTTGGCCAGGACTCTCTCTCCCTTTGTCCTGGCCGGACAATCTCCTGGATAAAATTGATCGCTCACTTCACGGCTGTTTGTGGTATGTTGCTGCGTGCAAATGGCAGCTGCGTTCGTCCACCAAAAAAACAGGGCTTTGAGACGGGCCGGTGTATCGAATGTAAAGATTATTATTGTATTATTGTTCTTTCTAATGTGTGATTCCCAAATGTGGCGTGGCTACTTAGGATGTTTACCGGCTCAGCGTAAACCCTTCACCGGCATTCTGTGTTCCCTGTTCTGTGTTTCCCCCGTTCCCTGCTCTCTCTCTCTCCCCATCGTGTCTGTGCTGGGGTTCGCTCCCCCACTGGAGATCTCCACTCTAACCCCGTTCCCTGCTCTCTCTCTCTCTCCCCCATCGTGTCTGTGCTGGGCTCGCTCCCCCACTGGAGATCTCCACTCTAACCCCGTTCCCTGCTCTCTCTCTCTCTCCCCCCATCGTGTCTGTGCTGGGGCTCGCTCCCCCACTGGAGATCTCCACTCTAACCCCGTTCCCTGCTCTCTCTCTCTCCCCCCATCGTGTCTGTGCTGGGGCTCGCTCCCCCACTGGAGCTCTCTACCCTAACCCCAATCCCCTATCTTTTGGATGAGATGAGACATTAAAACGAGGTTGTGTCTGCCATTTAAATTGGGCGTCAACGCTCTTGCGACAGAATTGGAAGCGAGGAGGGAGTTCCTCCAGGTTCGTGGGCCGGCAATCCTCCCCAGCTGCTTCCTGCCATGTTCGCTTACAGAAAACAGTCACTACACCCTGCTTTTTCCTCAAAGTTTCCCATTCACTCCACCCTCAACACTACACTGGAGAATCAGCCGAGACTGTGAGATCAAAGGCCCCTAATTTGCAATCTCCTGACCCGGAGGTGAGACCGTGAGACATTATTATAAAAATAATAATTCGGTCACTCAATCCACGACTGTTTGTGGGACACCGCTGTGCGCAATTGGCTGCCGCGTTTTGCCCCCCAAAAAGTACTTTGGACGACTCAATGACATGATAAGGTGCTATATCGAATGCAAGGATTATTATTATTATTATTATGATTATTAATATGGCTGACTAGGAAGAGGGGGCAGTG